CGGGGCCCCGTCCTGCGGCTTGGAGAAGCCCCGCTGCCCTTAAGGTCGTCTGTAGCGTATGGGAAAGGTGAGCTGCTCTGTGGATGGAGAGGTGAGGCCGGTTGACCCTGACCGCTGAGGCCACCGCACGTTGAGCGGCTGGGGAGCCCCATCTGTGTCAGCCTGGGCAGGCACGGGCCTGCGGCGTACGATTTACTTGAGACATGAAGGCTTACCCGCTCTCTGTGTTCTTCTTCTACCTTAGTAAAGCTTTTCTTTCCTTTAGCTGTCTGTTGTCGCACCTTTCTTGCTGAGATCCAGCAAAAGCCCTGCGCTGCCCCTCTCCGTCTTCGCCTCGCCCCGCTGCCGCACCACACACACCCCACGGCCCTCAGAGCTCCTCTCTGGGGCACCCCAACCTCCTCCGTCTGCCTTACAGTGCGCCCCCGGGTCCCCAGGGAGCCAGCACGGCGCTTGGCCCCCCCGGAGCACACTCAGGAGTGCTGCTCTGCAGCCCCTTGGTTGGACACATCGGTACTCGGTGGCAGCACAGCGCTGAGGATGGGAGATGCCGGAGCAGGGCAGCTGTCCGGCAGGCATCCAGGGATGACACTGGCCATCAAGCTTGTGCAGATGTGGGGCAGAGCACACTGGGGTTTGCGGCTCTGGCACAAACAGAGCAACAGCCCAAAAAGCAGGTGCCACCTGCTGCAGGTTCTGTGCAGCCAGTAACCCATGGCTCACATGTTAAATCTGGGCAGCGGTTTTTCCTCTAGAGGCCTCAGGTTGAGGATGGTCTGTGTTGCCAGGGCAGAGACCAAGTGATGGTGGTCGTTCTCCAAGGGCTGAAGGGCTGAGACTGAAAGAAATAGAGCAGAGATCAACCCCCTAACTCTGCAGAGGCCCCAGGCATCCTCTCCAGACGGCGACAGCGCACTCAGCCCTTCCCCGCTATGAGGAAGTGAGAGCGCCACAGCACCAACTAGAAGCTGTTGGCCTGGGCTGCCCCAGGTGTCTGGACTGGTTCCTCCTTTCCCCTCTGCGCAGGGCTGCAGGGCACGCTGCCCTCACTAACCCACGCAGATACTCTGCAGCTTCTGGCCCTGATGCCTCATGTGCTGCACGGTGAGCCCCAGGCACACGCAGCCCATCACCCCTGCGCTCCCCAGCACCGCAGCCCCCCCAGGCCACGACAGCCTGACCATCCGCCTGCCTCCCTGCAGACAGGGCTGACCCCAGGGCGGCACAGGACAGGGTGTTGTCAGCCTCAGAGAGTCAGCAAGGGGGCTGTGCTGATCTTCCATGTCTGCAAGGTTTTGGCCAGGTGCCAGAGCTGTTCCTGCTGCAAGGCTTTCTTGAGGGGAGGATTTCTTGAGAGGCCCACAGAGCCACAGAGATGGGGAGATGCCACCACAGCCCAGGGCAGGGCACTCTCTACCTTCATCGTGGCCAGTCTTAGAGCTTTTCCAGCTCTTTTGGGGCAGGTGATGCCCAGGACCAAGCCTACCCCATGCTGAAGGACATGGTAGGCCTGGGACAGACGGGGGGCAGCTCTGTGCTCTCCTTGTGGACAAGTAGGTCAGGTCTGACAGTGACACACACACAAAGGGTGCAGCTCAGCAGCCCGTGGCCCTAGTGCCGAGGCCCAGCTGTGAAGTGTCAGCATCTGGTGTTACTATCCTCCTTGAATCACTAGTGGGGTCAAGCTTTGTTGCTCATGTGGAAGAAGAGCAGCTGAGGGCTCCTGTTCACTTTCTTCCTCATCCTCCATTTGCCACTTCCCATCACAGTCTCTATCATGTCTTTGAAGAGGAAGATGGAGATCGCTTGCAGCCGGTGGTGATAGCCTCTCCTAGGCACTGTGTGCCTTTCCCTCTGGAGGGGACACGCTCTCCTTGGGGCTCCATCAGGTTCTCCCTGATGGTGAAGGCAAAAAGCCTTTGATGGACATACCACATCATGGACAGGAGCATCTGCCAGCTGCCCCAGAGGTGATGCTGACGTCCTGCCCCCCGCCCCCAGGGAACTAGGTATCTTGGCCTGCCACCCAAGGGGACCCAGGTGTCCTGCCCCAATGGGACACGTGGCCCAGGCCAGAATGCAAGGCAACATGGGCAGGGGACACCCGAGGGGACGTGCACAGCCAGTCACGTGGTTTGTTAATGACTACCTAATGACCTTGGGGGGCTTGCAAGGGGGAGTGGGGCCTCCTGGACGCTTGGCTTCCCCCCCGCACATCTGCTGGACTTTGCTCTTTGCCCTGCCCCTCCTCCTGGATCCTTGCCCATTGGGCCCAGCTGGGGCCAGTATAAAAGCGGTGTGGGGAAGTGGGAGGGATCCCAGAGACCCTGAGGCCATAAGGGAAACTGAGGCACACATACAGGTGCGGGTGAGGGATGCGTAGGGTGTCTGCGAGAGGGGACTCCGAGGAACGCCAGCATCCAGTGGGGGTGGGAGGATATGTAGGGGATCCAAGTGTCAGGGCAGGGGGCAGATCTGTAGGGGACCCAGGGGTCCAGGGGGTGTGTTCCATAGGGCACCCAAGCATCTGGGTGGGTGCAGAACTGTAGGGAACCCAGGTGTCCATGGGGTGTTCTGTCAGGGACTGAGGCAGCCAGGTGGGATCTACAGATGGCTCAGGTGTTGAAGGGGTTGCTGTAGCGGACCCAGGAGTCCAAGGACGGGGGGGCCCTGTGCATTTAGAGGGGATCTGTAAGGGTGTCTGGGAGGGGAAATTTGTAGAGGAATCGAGCGTTGGGGGTGGGATTTCCAATAGGGGTCCCAGAACTCCAGATGGACCTGACCCCACTTTCCACAGGTGGCCATGGCGGGCTGGGCCCTATGCATGGCCCTGGTGCTGCCAGCACTGGCAGGGGCAGTGGGCGAGACCCGCTACGAGAAGTTCCTGCGGCAGCACGTGGACCACCCCCGGACATTCAACCTGGCAGCCCACCGCTACTGCGAGACCATGCTGGCGCGCCGGAGGGTGACGGCCCCAGGGCGTCCCTGCAAGCCCTCCAACACCTTCGTGCACGCGCCGGCCGAGGAGCTGGTGGCCGCCTGTACCCAGATGCCTGACGCGATGGGGTTCCACAGCACCCCAACACCCATGGGCCTCACAGCCTGCCGCCTGCGGGGGGGGGACACCCGCCCCCCTTGCACCTACCGGGCCCGGGAGCTCCGCCACCACGTGCGGGTCTCCTGTCTGGGTGGGCTGCCCGTGCACCTCGCTGGCACCCACGCGCCCCCCCAGTGAGGCTTGACATGGGGGGAGAACATGGATCCCTCCTCCCTCTGGGGGCTCTGTCAGGGGTCTGCAATAAAGAAGGTGCCACAGGCCTGGGCTCTGGTATCAGCTTCTGGGGGGCCCCTGCGATCCTTCCCCTCTCCAGGTGTCCCTGAGCCCCCTTGGGTGCCCCCAACACTGTCCAAGGTGGACCTGGCCCCCCTGTGTGCCTCATAAACCCCTGGGTTTTCCCAACCTCCTGGGTGTCCCATAGCCCCCCCAGGGTGACTCTGACCTCCCCTGTGCCCCAGAGACTCCCCCTTCCTGGATGCTCCACAACTCCCCTGGGTGCCCCATTGCCCCCCCCAGGGTCCCCCTGCTCCCCTGGAGGTGTACCCAACAATCTCCCCCAGTATCCCAACCCTTTGGGTGTCACATTGCTTTTCTGGATGCCCCATAGCTCCCACAGGGTCTCCCAACCTCCCTCATAACCTGTCTCATAACCCCCGGGGTACCCCCAACTTCCCCCACGCCTGCCCCGTAAACCCTCATGTGCCCCAAAGTCCCCTCTCCCAGATACCTCTGACCCCATCTGGGGCCTCTCTGGGGCTGAGGCTGCCCTTGGGCCCCCTTGTCACCCCCATGGAGCCGAGCACTGTCTGGGACCACATGCAGTCCTGAACCACCACCCCATGCACACATGCACCCAGAACACACACAAAACCACAACAGACGCACACATGCAAACACACAATGCACACACAAAGCATGCCCTGTGCACACAACACACAACCACACACTATACTTGCAACACAAATCATGCATACACCACACACACAATACAGAAACACATACACACACCACAAACACCACATGCACACGCATACACAAACAAGTCTTGTGTTTGGATGAGATTTCATGCGTTTCAGGTTGTGTTCACCACCTCTTGTCCTGTCAGTGGGTGCCACTTAGAAGACTGTAGCTCCCTTGTCTTCATTCCTCACCATCAGTACTTATGAGTCCACTGGTAAGCTCCGCCTGCCTGAGCCTTGTCTTCTCCAGGCTGAACAGTCCCAGCTCTCTCAGCCTTTCCTCTTATCAGAGGTGCTCCACTCCCTTCATCACCATCAGCCCTTTCTGGACTCTCTCCAGTGTGTCCATGTCTCTCTTGTACTGCGGAGTCCATCACTGGATCCAGCACTCCGGGTGCATTTCACTAGTGCTGAGCAGAGGAGCAGGATCATCTCCCTCAACCTGCTGGCAACACTCTACCTAATGCAGCACAGCAGGCTAGTGGTCCTCTCTGCTCTGGTCCTATTACCCTGAGGACTCCAGTGGAAGAGCTGACATCCATGTGCTGTGTTCCTGCAAAAAGGCAGCCTGAAATGCACTCAGAAATTGTAGCTGAGAAGCGCAGCAAGTGGTTTTCCTGATCCCTTTCCTTTGCTCCCTGTCCATGATGTCTCTTCCACATGTACCTTGAGTAACTCAGGTGCTCCTTTTCTGGAATTCATCAGAAGGGGCCCTTCACAGACAGGTGAGCTCCAGCTCTCAACCCTGCCCCAGTGAGGAGAGCTCTACTCCCTGTAAACTGGAGAGGAATTGGGGGATTTCAAGGGCATTTGGGGCATGCCTGACCTGGCAACTTCCAGCAGATTCACTTCTCCACACTGCTCCCTCCTGGCCATGGGAGGAGCTGGGTAGGCTGACCTTCTCAGGAGGGAATGCCTGGGGTCTTTGCAAGGACAAGGATTTGATCTCCACTCTGTTTATTTCTACCTTGGTTCTTCAAAGCTTGGAGGAGGACTCCAGCCTCTCCATCTGTTCTCTGGCTGCTCAGATCATCTTGACACTGAGAGAGAAATGTATCACCACTGTGATCTACCCTACAAGCCTTGCACTACAGGCTCTGAAGAGCATGGGAGAGGTGGCACCCATCTTGGGGAGACAGCTCTGAGCAGAAGTCCCACAGCAGCAATGCCAGTTCTGGGATGCCCTGCGTGCTGGGGCTACCTGAGTGTGCTGGAAAGTCTGGGATGTTCGTGGCATCTCCCCTTTGTCTGCAGGGCAGCTCCACCCCTCTGGCACATCCCATCCCATTATTGCGCTGTTGGTTCACTCCTCTGCTATGTTTTCCCCTAAGAAGCAACTAGGCTTTTTTCAGCATATGTTGGCATCTGTTCTTTGTTAAGGCTAAAGCGAAAAACCTCAGCAACAAAGGAATTGGGATCATCCTTTTTCTTCAGTGGTGCCCAGTGATAGGGCAAGAGGTAACGGGCACAAACTTGAACATAGAAAGTTCCATCTTAACATGAGGAGGAACTTCTTTACTTTGAGGGTAGTGGAGCACTGGCACAGGCTGCCCAGAGCAGTTGTGGAGGCTCTCACTGCAGAGACATTCAAAACCCACCTGGACGCCGTCCTGTGCAACCTGTTGTAGGTGACCCTGCTCTGGCGGGGGGGTTGAGCTAGATGATCTCGAGAGGTCCCTTCCAACCCTGACCATTCTGTGATTCTGTGATCCTGAGGGTGTTAGGACATCCACTCTTTCTGGCAGCCAGTGGCAATGCAGATCACACCCAGGTACTTTATCTCTGAGACAAAGTACCGGTTGATCTGCTGGCTTCCTAACAAGGACCAGAAAAGCTGTAGCTGCTCCTGCCGTCTTCAAAAAAAGATGCCAGGACAAGAACTGGCTCTCTGCAGGGCTTGCGTGTCATGTGAAAGAGGATGGAAGGGGAACAGCATGCAGCCCGAGGCCTTTTTTCCCCATCACTGGCTACTGCGCATGGTCCTTGGAGCTGCATACCTTTTGTCTCAGGAGCTCTGTGGTGAGGTTGAGGGGGAAGCAGCATGGGGGATGGTCTCCAGTTATGTCAGTCCCTGTTCTAAATGTCCCAAAACCTTAGGAGGTACAGGAGGATCTGTCTCCACCTGGCCTTGGTCTCAACACTGAAAGAGAGAAAGGAGTCCCTAACAGGACTCTGTCTTGAAAATAAATCGACTCTCTTGCCACTGCTGGCACAGGGTGGGCCCCTCGCCTGTACTAAGTTCAGCTGATGTGGCTGAGCTCAAGAGTTGCAAGGCCATATTGCAGGCAAAAAAATGACTTGCAGAAATTTCACTTAATTTAATTTATTGCCAATTAACATACACTTTTAATTACTGATTTGGGTATTGAGAAGCACAAAAGGTGCAAAAAATTACACAAGCACTTATGGAAAGGCCTTTTCCCAGGCACATCTTCAGCCCTTCATGAGTGGGGACATGGGTGCAATACGAGACTTCTGCACTATCCTTAAACTGCTGGGATGCAGCCCTTTATCCCTGGGGAGACAAAAAGGCCTTTGCCACAAGCAGCAGCGGGCCATTTACAGGCAGTGGTCAGCAAATCTGTAATGGCAACAAGTAGCAAAAAGCCAGCGTGGGACTGGTGCCTGAAAATAAAGGAAGGATTTTTGCGGTTTTGTGTTTTAATTGCATTTGCTTATTAATTCCTTTCTCATTTGGGTACTTTCATGTCTGGCCTCTCACAGCCAAACGTAAAATCCCAAGGTTTGTGGTTGATTCTGCCTTATAACACTACAGGGAGACAGAACCGATCACTTCTGTTTTGTGGATGGGAGTTAAGCAGCTTTCCTAAGGTCACAGAAAGTCTGAGACAGGAGCTCAGTCCAGGCCCCCTGAACCCTATTTTAATGGCTTCCCTTCCTATTCATGTGCATTTTTCTAGAGAAAAGACAGTAAGTGTCAGTCTGACTTTTTCTTTAAAACAACTTTTTTTTTGCTTTCAATGTACATCTGTCACTTTGCAGCGTGTCCTGCAGTAGATCAGTATAGGCTGCATTACAACAGGAAACCAAAACTACTCCCAAAACAGCACTATAGTCCACCAAGAAAGCAACTATACATTTTCTGGATCCTACCCCGAAGCTAGGCTGTGAGTCATATCTGCTTGAATTTCATGCCTAGAGTTTGCTCGGACAGTGGTCAGCCTGCTCTTCTCACCTGCTGTGTTACCAAACAATTAATTCCTTAGCCAGGAGCAGTTGCTTGTTTAGTACATGGAAACGAAGCACATAACTCTCTCTCACGTGCTTCACTACAGCTCACCCGCTTGCTCTAGGATGACACTTCCACCGAGCAGCATCTGAGGGTATAAAACGAGAGGCATGAGCAGTGTGTTAACATTTCCGATGCCACTGTCGAAATTCATTTCTACTTTTTGAAATGCAACGGCATTTTTGCAGAACCATAGCACGGAATTGCTTAAGCAGGGTCTGCAAAGGCCTTAAAAAATATTTACTCAGCAAAGTCAATACTGGGCTCCATGGATTTGGCAGAATGAGTCCTGTGAAACCAGGCTGTTGCTGCATGCCACGCGTGCCAAAATTGACATGGAAAAAGCTTCTCTCCGGTGCTATCACTTAGTCTTAAAATATACCCTGCACAAATATAGCAAAATACAGCCAGTTTCTCTGCAGCATTTGCTCTAATAATTTTTTTCCATGGGGTTTTGGTCCCCCACCTTCTTATAACCACATAACCCATCCAAACAAGGCGGTAAGCTTTCCAACATCACGATAGCTTCAAAAGCTCAGTGAAGAGTAGAAGCAGTCATGAAAATCAGACTTGATGTATTTTTTAAATCAAAATTTCTTTTTTAACAAGCACAGTTCTTTCTTTAACTTTAGGGGCCATGTTTGCTCTTTTTATTGAAAAACAAACTAATCTAAGTATTTTTAAGCATTCACCAAAGGAAGGGGAAAACCTTACTTCTTTTGCCTCTCCAATATGTTATTTTTTTTCTTCCAGAAGGAAATGCCAGGGTATTCCTCTTTGTATTCATACTGGCTGTAAGCCTAAAAAAAAGCAGATATCAACTGGGTTTTTAAAAAAATCCATGAGCTTTCCATTTTAATTTGTCTGTTTTTTCTTAGCTGTATCTCACAGAGAAGAGTTAAGTCCTGTAAACTGATTTTCTTGGGGTTTTTGTCTGTTTAGCATTAAATACTGCTGGTGGTATTGTGAAAGCAATAGCAACTGGCTTCAAGTCACCCTAGAGATGACTCTTCAAATCACTTTTCAAGTCTGGCCCAAAAGAGGACCTTCACTTTCTCATATGGCACATTTTTGAATGAACGTGCAGTTTAAACAGTTTAACTGCAATGACTAATTTCTACCATCACAAGTGTCTCTGTGAGTCCTTTTTTTAATTATCATTTCTTTACTTACTTGAAGAAAAATTGTTTGGAGAGAAGAGAGCATTTCCTTTATCTCTGGTAAATGAAAAGGCCCTGTAGCTTGGTCTGAGTAGGGGCTGAGAGGCTCACGCTCCCTTGTCTCTGAGAAGCGGCAGAACCCATCCTCTCCTTCCTGTGACCAGGGTTTTAAATCCTGGGCCGTCCCCACCACTACCCTGTAACAAGTCAGCATGGAAAAAGCCACAGCTTTCTGTGAAGGACTGAGCTGAGAGGCAGCGAAGAGGAAGGACCAAGCCTCTGGGAGTACCTGGGGATTTTGCTCTGGGTGCACACCAGCATGGCTTATGTGGCAGCTCAAAGATGCTCTTATCTCAGCAGCTCACTCTTGCTGCCTCTGAAGTATGTGGTAATGGCCCAGGCGTCTGGCAGAGCAAATAACCAACCCCAGCTTTTTCCACCTACACACAAACCTTGGGACAGAGGTGCTTTAAGGAGTCAGCACTGACAAATGCAAAAAACATGCTCCTCTTCCTGCAGATACCTCTGTTTCCTTCGCTCTGCTCTGTTTTTTTGAGGTCCTGCCACATATAAAGAGGAGCCAGAGCAGCCTTTGGCTCAGTCCTTTCTCCAGGCGTCAGAGACAGTTGAAGAAGCAAGGTGCTCGATGTGCTGGGCAGACCTGCTTCACCTTCTCCCTGCAGACCCATACCGACTGGTGGCTTTCCCCTTTGCTGCACTCTTCCACCAACTCTGTGCTTCGGGGCTCCTCTCTCTGACTGCACGGTACGTGGTCATCACTCCTGCCGCTGCGCTGAGGGCAAGTCATGCCTGTGGATGCTTTCTGGGGGCTCTCCTGGCCAGAGGTGCAGCGGGACGCATGGTAGTAAGTCCCTGATGACTTGGGTAGGGATGTTTGTATGGCTTGGATGTGAGCTGTCCTCAGTCACCACTCCCTGGAGTGGAGCCAGGTCAAGGTTGTTAAGGACAAAAGAGCCACGCTGGACCTCCTGATGTTGTGAGAGATGGGTTTAGGGGTGTACCCAGATGAGCACATGGACAAGGGGAGCAGGGCAGGGTATGGGGACTATCTCTGGTGTGACTGGGATGGGTGCCAGGCAGGGCCAGCAATATCTGCCTCAGTCCACACCCATTTCTGCTTGCAGCCACGGTGGCCCTGGTGTTCCCTCAGCCCCATGGGAGGCCAAGAGGCAGACTACAGGGGGACTGTGGAGGCTGCAGGACCCAGACTGCAGTGACTCTGCTGTCAACACTGTGATGGGAATTTTAAGCCACGTTTTCCCCAAAAGGCAGACAAAGAGCATCTGGTCTCTTCTAGGTACGTATTCCTCCTCGCCGGAGGATGTCTCCTTGCTGGCACAGCCATGGGCAGCTACGCCATGTTGCTCCTCATCCCTGCTGTTGGCTCAGTGCTCGTCCTCCTCTCCGTCAGCCCAGCTCGTGCCCACACCTGGGTCTTCACCCTCCAGATGTCCTGGCAGACACTCTGCCACCTGGGTCTGAGCAGCCAGGAGCTGGACCCGCAGGATGCCAGGTAACCCACTGGCTCTGTCTCCATCCCGCTCCTCCCCTCAGTGGGCTGGGCTGGAGACCCTTCTGGTCATTTTGTGAGGTTGGGGGGCCCCCCAGGCTCCACCGGCTTGCTGTCCCACAGCCATCAGTCTCCACTCTGGCTCCAGCCGCATCCCCATGTGTGGGTGATGCTGTGGGCATGGCAGCGCTTTGGGGACGTGGGACAGCACATCCCCAGCATATGGCCTTGTGCCCATGCCTCTAATGTTCCCTTCGAGGGAGTCTCAGCAGCTCTCAGGTGCCCTCTCCTTCCAGGCCAGCCATCGCCCTCTCTGCCGTCATGCTGCTCACCCAGAAGGCTACATCTTTGGCCCTGGACATCCACGAAGGGGTCGTGCCGCTCCAGCTGGGCCAGGGGCCTTTGCAGCACATGCTGCCCCTCTGCAGCTACCTGCTCTTTTTCCCAGCCCTCCTCGGAGGTCCCCTGTGCTCCTTCAGCAGGTTCCGAGCCCAGGCTGAGTCCTTGGGGCCTCTCCCC